AGAAAACGGAATAAAATTTAATGCAAATTTACAAAAGTAGGTTTCACTAGATTTGTGCAGTTGCTTTTCTTGATAGGATATTTTCTTAGAGAAGAAATGCAGTAGATCTCATCTATTCTGACTTTACTAAAGCATTTGATACTATGCCTCATGGGAAAAATACCAGTTAAGCTGAAGAAAATGAGGATTAAAATAGAAACTATGTGTTGGATAAAGAAGCTGCCTCAAGAGAAAGGCAATGGGTAGTGTTGAGAAAGAGCAAATAAAGTTTTCTTGAGGAAATCCTTGAAGATCCATTTTAGGGCTAAGCTTCCTCAATATTTCCACTAATTACTTCAGAATAAATATTAGGAGTGCACTGATGACAACGTTGCAAACACTGGCAATAGGCAGCAGGGTCAAAATGCAGGAAAAAGAATTGGATAATTCCAAAGAAGGAAAAGAGAAACAAGATTCAATACTTTTAAGAGAGAAGGCAATACATTTTTGACACATGAACAGCAATAAACATCTGCTATAAACCGGGAACTTGTCAGCTGGAAATGACTCAAACTATGAAGACTGGGTTGAATTATTTTTTCACAGAGTGGTTGTGTGCCACAAGCATGAGACAGACATGCAAAGACAAGCGTTCGCTGAATATATTAGATTAAGCATTTCTGGTACAACAGTACTACTAGTACTGTGCAAGGCATCTCATAGGGATGACTGCACAGTTCTGGTCACCAATGTTCAAGAAGGTGGATTTCAAACTTTAACAGAACAAGGCTCCTAAGATGATAAAAATGAAGAATAGGAGGCAAAAATTCGGAGACAAGGTAATGAAAGCCAAGGTTGTGTAAGTATAAACCAATTGTCTAAAAATGCACCACAGGGTGAGGAGGAATTGGAGATGATGTAATGCTAATGAAGGAGGGAACTATCTGAGTTAAAGGACAAAGTTAGTGTTCTAAAAAATAGGAACGAATTTGACTGTAAGGTGATTTCCTACACCTACAGAGCAAGCAGGACTTGCAACGACCTTTGCATGGGTGCAGCAGGGGTGGAAAAGGGGAACAGCACTGACGATGACTGACTCAGCCCAGTTGTTAAGCAAGGATGTGGGTATGTTTACAAAAGAGGTATCAGGATGTGGACCTAACAATCCAGGGGTTCTTTTCCAGTCCTCTGCTCCAAAATTGAAATCAGGGATATTTGCCCATATCCTCTTCTTTCCCTTTAGTTGCACAACAAACAGAGACCAAGAAGGTGCTATGCCGCTGTGCAACTCATTCGGTTTTGTTTGTTCAGTGAAATGAACATGCATGGAGAGCTTTAATCAAGTCCTCTCCAGGTACAATGACTCTCTCCACTGGCATTTTCAATTTCAATAATGTTTGTAGCGTTCTTCTTTTTAAGTCAGATAGATCCTTCTGAGCCTTGAGGGCATTTACATACCACCCTTCCTTTAGAAACTTGTATGTAATGAGTATGTTAACGATCGATGTCCTTTAAAAAACAGCAAACTGTTGAGTTGCTCCTGACCTTCTATTATATAGAGTTAACAGTTATCCAGCCTTTGGCAGTCTGTCTGACAGAAAGAAATATTGGGATGACAACTGTAATTTGTCTTTGAGCAATTGCACACTACACAGTAACTATTTGCTGGGATTTTAATAGAATTTATTCTCATTCCTTTTATTAAAACCGATTGGCAGAAGAAGCCCAGTATGTTCAGTTACTACAGACTTCTAAAAATAAGCAGTTAAAAGACAACTACGTAATGATTTGAATCTTTACAATGTCTATTGTCTCAGAAATTAATATCTATGGATGACAGATACTGCTCTGCCTGCTTCACAGCCATTTACCACTTTAATCCCTAAACCAGTCCTTTTTTTTTTTTCTTTTTTCCACAGCAAGGTAATACCCTTGTACTGAAAAATGTGTTTACATCTAAGTTTCTATCACTTCTCTTAGGCAACGACAGCAGCACTTGCAGACAGGAGCACTATCATTGCTCCTCAGCCATTCACATTTCAAATAAATTTAAATGGGGAAAAGCATTCAATTCTGAGAAGGAATAAATAAAGTATTTTCTTACTCTCTGTGTGTGTTAATGGATGTGTATAAAATACAAGTGAAAAATATGAATTCTGTATAAGGAAGGCCATCTTTTTTGAAGGAGAGAAAACAGGTGAGGGAGGCACACAAATTTCTATAAGCTGTTCATTGGAAGCTATACAAAACGTATCTGAAGAATGCTCCGGTTTCAGCATTTAGCAGGTTTAATTATGTTCAACATTATCTATAGGAAGAGTAAAGTTAAATACTGACTAAGACAGGAAAATATACCATACACAAAATGATATTAAAAGTATTTTCAGGTAGCGAATTCTCAAAGGCAGCATGTGTTGAAAATGGCTTGTACTTAAAAGGAAAGATTTTCACATATTGATGCTGTGATCATCTCCTTGACAAATTATAAACGCTTGCTGCAAACTACAAGGGCATTATATAAGAGTTCTTAGACATAGTTCAAAATTATAATAGTAGGTTTGCTGCTGTTCTCTCCATAATGGCAATTATACTGACTGAACAGATTAGCTACTCCACGAGAATTTCAGCTGTACATGTCATAAGGAATGACATGCTGAACCCTGTATAATTGTCATTGCAAATGTAATTTTTATTGAAAAAAGCTGTTCTATATTCATAATAGTACAACGACATGGGAGCGCTAAATAAAATGTCATCCTGTTGATGCAAGTGCTGCTTATACCACTGTGTCTGCCATTAAGAAAGTAACCACTGTCTTCTGGGAAAGCATTCAGAGTCTTGTTCAATTGAGACTGTGAAAATGAGAGCACTTGGGGAATAGACCTGGGAACCTGGCAACCACACTGCTGAAAAAAGATTCTCGCCACAAAAAGAATTTGCATGTTCACCTCTGTATTACCTAACAAGGACACTCCTGCAATTCAAGAATCTCTATACAGTATCTGCTGCACAAGTTAAAGCATAAATAATAGTTACCAAGAAATAGTTTTTCCTTATTTTCCACGACATTGCAATATATGGTATACTATACATCAAGTTCACGATGAAATCTCCAGGAATTTAGGTAATGACATGACCAGGAGCAGGATTTGGCCCTGTTAGCCAGGCTAAAATAGAATTTTATTGGGATTCCTTTCAGCTGCTTCACCTTTTGCATCAGCGAAATGGGTTCAATGGGATCCAGTACTGTGGTGGAACACAGTCTATTTAATCCTTTCAATATAAGTAATTAAAAAAATTAAACAACTTGATAAATGTAGTCTGATTAATTTTCAGCTGCATTTTTAGTCAGAAGCAGAATTTATTTAAGCAATCAAATTACAGACACAGCCTATAAACCTCTGAGAAGCCTGAGAAAATATAAGAATAGCAAGCATGTGTGGCACAATGAGGGTCTGTACTTGAGATGATGCACATTATATAAAAGTCTACAGCCCAGGTTTTAGACTGCCAAAGCCCATGGACACAGAAATTAATTTTCTCATTTCACAAATTAATTTCAGTATTTTTCTAAATTTCTAATTTGAAAAGATATTTTCTTCAATACCTGCAAGAGTAAAAATACTAAATAGAGTATTTGTGCTTCCTAGCTTCAGGTATCTTACCTAGTAGGGAAACCTTCTTAGGGTGCATTAGTATTTGATGATGGTGTGAGATAGGTCCTTTCACAGAGAAATTGTTGAAGGAGCCTCTAAGCGCTCTGAATCACCTGCTTAATGAACCTCTACCTGTTGATCAGGAGGGGTTGGGAAATTACCTGATCAAACTGAGCTTATATCAACTCATTCTAACAGGCTGTGGCATGAATGCTCACACCACCACTGCCTCATCTGCTCTCTTTTTTTTAACAATTCCAAATAGAGCTCTTTTATTTCCAGGGAATTTAAAGCTTTCAAATGAAAATGAGTGGAAGGTTTGGAACAAACGGAATTTTTTGAATCTTAAGTTATGAACATCGACAAAAAAAAGCAATCTTTATAATTTTGCTTGTTTATTAGCTAAAGAAGCTGTTCCTCCAAAAATGAACCATCTTTCTCCCTTCAAGTCCCTCATTGGCAAGGAGTTCCATTTTAAACTACTTACACGCAACATTTAAGGTCATCGCCCCAGTCTGTCTTTCCAGATGGAAAATTATTTCATCCTGAGAAAGCTACCAAATCAATGTCCCTTCCCATACCGCAACTGTTATTTGTGGAAATCCCACACAGCATCATGATCAGGCCTCCACTGGGTCTGGGTGTACGTTTTTAGAGAGGGTAAGACAAAGTAGTGTGTGCATCTATTTCAAAGTGTTTATGCTCAATCCCTCATACTTCTTTGCAGCCCATACTACTCAGCCAGAAATACTACGTCAGCTATGCTCTTTTCATGATCACTCTGTTAAATGGCTAGATGTAGGCACTCAAAAAACTCTCTGGACTTCTGGAGAATATACAGCCTATCAGCTTCATGAAATTAGGAACACAAAGAACTAACATCCAGCTGTAACTGGAAAAAGAAACATCACTAAACAATGCCATATCAGATAAATGTAAAACCAGCTTTATGAAATTAGTTCTGCTATCAAGACCTCCATCAATAAAGCCAGCATTCCTATTAAAAAAATGGATACCATTTTTGCTGATGACTATGAAATTACATTTCTCTAAATATACAAACTGATTTTAACAGCCAAACTTTTCCGCATCACTTAGGTACACCTCTTTCACAGAAACTACAAATACATCGTATTCTCAAATACAACATTACGTACACTGCTAGTAAATATGCACATCGTAGTTAAGCATCAGTGTAAATGAAGAATGAATGGACTATACTACACCAATATTAATCTTAATGTTCACATGTGTTCAGGTTAGTATTTTGTTACTGTTGAAATCAACAAAAAGAATAAAACAACAGACACTAAACAACATACTAAATCTGTAATACATGCAGACATGCACACAAATAGTAATCACCTGAGTCCTTTTCTGCTGTTGCTAAATATAAAACAGAAAACAAAAAAGAGAGAACAAAAACATAATTACAGAAATACAACTATTTTAGTTTCCTTTGAGTAGAATAAATATCATATAAGGTGTTAAAATCTTCTTAAATAGTACTCTGCATGATTCTCAGAAAAGTACTCAACCTATTTCTCGTTGAGGTACTAAACATATAGGCAATTATTTATTGAGCTTTGGGTTTATAATTACATGAGTATAAAACTACTTACAGAAGTCTACTTGTGTTTCAACTAAAAGAGAATAAATTCAAAAAGAAAGTTCTGAGGAGACCTTATTGCAGCCTTCCAGAACCTGAAGGGGCCTACAAGGAAGCTGGGAGGGACTTTTTACAAGGGCCTGTAGTAACAGGACAAGGGGTAATGGGTTTAAATTGAAAGTGGGGAGGTTTAGATGAGATATCAGGAAGAAATTCTTCCTGGAGAGGGTGGTGAGGCACTGGAACAGGTTGCCCAGAGACGCTGTGGATGCCCCATCCCTGGAAGTGTTCAAGGCCAGGCTGGATGAGGCTTTGAGCAACCTGGTCTAGTGGAAGGGGTCCCTGCCCACGGCAGGGGGGGTGGAACTAGATGGGCTTTAAGATCCCTTCCAACCCAAACTATTCTGTGATTCTATGATTATGAAAAGAAATTTGCAAGTCAAAATATGCCATCAGATGGACTGCAGTTTTATGTGCAGTTCAAGCTTACTGCAGTGCTAACACTGTGCGTATCTAAAGTGCAAAATTTGCTACTTGTAGTGGAACTATCACAATTCTCTGGGATATAGTTAAAAATCCTGGGCAAAGTTGTATTTACCTTACTGTAAAAAACCTTCTCCAATCCAATTTAGTGTCAGTGAATTTAGAACTCTTTTGCATGTTTCTGTCATCTTTTAAAAATGTTTCAATTTTTATACCCATTATTTCAGCAGGTTTGCTATAAAAAAACCCCTGAAATACTGAATACTAAAAAAATCACTTTTATGAATACAGAAAGATAAAAACTGAGGAAAATAGTATTTTTGGCTTTTCTTCCAGAATAGATTTAATATTCATCCTTCTTTCTTTAACACAACATGGTATCATAATTAATTATGATAAACTGGTTACTAAGATGGTTTCATGTTGTTATTCCATGATATAATACTGGTTGCTATAGTGATGAGATGGGTTTTTTGTTAATCACTTGTGAGATTGGTTAACTCATGTTTTTCAAAGAATTTAAGCAGAAATGAAAAAAGGAAAAAAGTTGTCTCTGCAATATTATTAAACATGTGAGGCTTCTTCATTTTGCTGCTATAACAATTTCTTCTAGTGCATGGCTAGAAACACATGCTATAAAAAATACATACTATGCATAAAAAATGGATTTTTTAAAAATAGAATTCATCCTTCATATATTTTTCTGCTAATTCATGCTACTTCCAAAAAAGCCAGTTACATAGATGCACACACGCTGTTTTCTAGTCCTGAATATATCTCCACAGGTAAATCTCAAGCTTTCTGTGCTTTATGGAGAATAACATGTCTTGACAAAGCAATTGACTATTATGACTTCCTTTTTGTTCTACATAAGCTTAACAAATATCAAAATGACATTGTGTATGGTAGCCAATTTTCTTAGAGACAAATATTCTTTAATTTAATTGTATACATTCTAGAGTATAGCTAAATTCCAGAAAAACTGTTGATTGCCATTGGATCTAGTATTTTGTCCCATTAGTTCATGCAGAAAATCAGTATGTAATTAAGGTTTTAATGATCAGATTATTACTATACAGCTGACAACACAATAGCAAAAATAAATAAGATTTATCTATCTGCCTGCCTTATAAGCACATCAGAAAATCATCTACACCCAGAGTTTGCAAGTTTCAAGATATTGTTACTGCTGATAAGGAAAGAATTTCCTGTCAGTAGTTTAAGTACTAGAAATAGTCAGAGAAATAAAAAAAATAACCCACAAACAACCTTTTAGATTTATGGAGAACTCAAAAGTGAGAACAAAGGGCAACTTAAATTAAGAAGTCCTAGTCTTCCATTCAAACAGGGTCCCAGGAGGCATATTAAAGCAATGAATAGGAAAAAGCTCCATAGTTCACCAGCTGAGATTTTAATGAGACATTTCCCCTTGCTGTAGAAGGGGTTTGTTCAGGAAAGGAAAAAGGCTGCTCACAGAATATTCAGCTAATAGGCATTGTTGGCTTTTACAGCCACTTTGGCAGTTGATTGCTGTACTAACCTTCTATTTTGGCATATTCTGTAAGTCGAGTGTAATTGATCAAGGCAGCCTTCTCCAGACATTTTCTAACCACTTTCTTCACCTCTTCTGCTGGTATGGGAGTGGCAATATCTTTCATTAAAACCTGTGCCAGAGACAATTACACCACTAGGTTACACTAATTACTCAAAACTCAAGGGAAAATGATAAAAGTTTTCTAAGGTTACTACAGATCTGATAATGATAAAAGGCAGAAATCAAACAAGAACTATTTCAGGTGGTGGAACTTGTCTTTGAAGGCTTTCCTTCAACTTTGATTTAACTGCTTATATGTTTTTTATACACAGTACCCAAATCATGTGGCAGCTTGCACCATGAGTGACTCCAAGACCAGTATGATAAGAGCATTCTGTGGATGGGCTGGATCATGGTGCCCGCTAAAGATGTGGGTGTGGAAACTTGCTGGGTTCTCACCTGTGGAAAGCTTCCACCATTGCATGACCACTGACTCTTCAACAGTACAGGAGAAACTGTGAACACCACCATCAGAGCCAGCTAATACCAACTTACTTTTCTCCCTTCTTAAAGTTATTTAAATTCAGCATGTCCTTGCTGTGAAAAAGTCATCTATAGTAGGGAGGGGAAATACTGCAATTCTGGCAGAGTATTTTAGTATGGACATGTAGAAAACAGATCATACAAAGGTTTTCTAAAATCCGCCAGTTTTTAACACCTATTGATTTTTAAAATATAGGACTTGATAAAATGTCCTGTTGCAAGTGAGGTAAACCGAGGATATATACTATATGGATAAAACAGAACTCTGAGTTACTGACATCAACACTGGTCATTCAAAAAAATGGAATAAATATTCTTAACAATTCACTTGCATTTTTACTTTTAATTCTACACTCCATTAATTTTTAACAGGTAGATGTAAACAAAACCCAGTACGTTTTTACCACTTTTTAATGTAAAAAATGACATTTCAGATAATTGACAACCTTTTAAAATTGCTTCTCCAATGGATCCGCAGACAAGCTACACCCTCATAGAACAAACCTAAAAATTATGATAAACGGAGGAAGAAAGAGGTATGGTGTAGGTAAGGATATAGTAGAAAGGAAACAAGTTCAGCAGCAGAGAAGCTATTAGGAAGATGTTGTTGCAAAGCAGACTTCCATTACTTCGCACACCCATATGACGTATCTACCTTTGTTAACTTGCTTCTTTTTAATTGATAACTTCTGCGTCATCAACTAGTGAAAATGCACCATTCAAAGACTTTTATTCTGGCTCTGTTTCTTTTTTAAGATTTTCAAAGACAGGTAAAAGAAAATGTTTGTAACCCGTTGTGCATTCACAGGTATAGGCATGTGCATTTATTCCCAGACAAGACTGACAACGGTGTTGCTTGAGCACCAGACAGAGTGCCACTGCCATTTGTAACAGCAGGAACTGTGAGAGGAAATAGCAGTTTCATGCAGCACAAAGGAATCTACAGAGCACTACAATCACTGAGAATGTAAGTGAAAGGAAACATATACCCAGACTCCCTACATGTTTTTGAACAGGGTAGAGGTTTTCTGAGACAGAATCTCCACCCACGGAGTGTTCTGCAATGAAGAATGACTGACACTGGCCACAACCTGACCTCTGGAGTTTTGGCAGAGCTACACAGACTCGGATCTGAGCTTTTTTTGAATTCATACCTTCATCGGGCTCCTGCTGATACAATTCCTCTGGAATCTCTGCTGGAATTTAAAGTTCCCTTTCCTCAGAGAAGTCTGAGATGCTTTTGCCATTACAAGTCTTCTCCCTTCCAGTCAATACAATGGGATTTGCCGGGCGGTTTACATTTATAGCTGTCCATGACAGTTTTCCTCCATATAGCTTTTTCTTCTTAAATTGACTCAGATTTTTTGTTTATGGGAGATTATTTGAATTACATGGACGCTTTTTAATGTTACATATCAGTATAGACAACATTATCAGCATAGAAGCCATAGAAAGCAGGAAAGAGGGACTGTAAAATAGGCTTGTGCTACTTTAGAGGTAATTTTGGGTAATCATTAAATTATAAAGAAACAGAGAGTCAGTGTAGTGGCTTGAAGGGAAAATCCAGTAAATAAATGCTACAGAAAACAGCTGTTTGCCTCTGTGGAAACCACTGAGGAAAAAAAACCCAACCTCCCAGTGAACAATTAAAACCAGTATTAAAGTACCTGAGAAGACATCAGTCTGCTTTCAGCAGCCTGATGGCAAAAGAAAAATGCACGCTTAGTACTCAAGCAGAATTTAAAATATATTCTCAAACTTACCCTTTCAAGTAATGAAAGTGTGGCTTTTAAAGCTCCTTCAGGACGTCCAAAAGGAAAACAGTACCTTAAAAAGGTAAAAAAACCCAAACCAACAAACAAAACAAAACAAAGGAAGAGAAAATGATCAGAATTATAACACATAAGAATTTACTTTGAGACATAATTGCACCCAACTGACATTAAATTATGTTAGCAGAAGACTCCCATATGCAAAGTACTAATGAAATCAGGAGAACTCTTCAGTAGCCTACCACGGAGCATGTACATAGTACAGCAGCATCAGCCCACCAGCAGCTCAGGCCTAAATACAGAAATAATACAAAAGGCAAAAAGCATCACTTCCACTTTTTCAACTATGAAGGATATTTAATGGTCTCTGATGAGTTTAACTGTCATCTTCCTGGAAAGTGGTACTATTTCTCATGTAGCCATGACAGCTACTGGAGCTGTGAAGTAGCACCCTGGATATTATGTCTTGTTTTAGTATTGGATTAAGATAAGGATAAAATGTCAGACATTTAAATTTCTAGATATATTTGGGAATAAAAATGTCTGCAGATAATCAATATTTTTTCCTATTATAAATAGCTTGGAAAAGCAATCTATGTTATCTTAATTTAAGCTACAATTTAAACCATACTCAACTCTGTCTCGACACTTCTAAAATTACATAAATTAATAAGTGATTCCATCATAGCTTTGTTTTTCATTTTTGTTTACTGAATGATCCAGTATATCAGTGTAATGCTCAGGTAACTCTAATCTCTCTTAATCCTGTCTATAAAATCTTGCTGGGATATCCCCAATTGGAAAAAGGATTTTTTACTTTGCTGAGATTATTTTTTTCTTATTATTACTCACTGAGAACGTCAGCCTCATATTCTAATGTTTTCCAATAGTAAAATCTTTGCTAATGATAAAAGGATTCAGTGAATGTTAGATGTAAGTTTTGGTCAGCCAAAATAAAGCCCTGTAAATGAGGTCAAAAAAGGATTTCCCACAGTGGGAATTCCAGTATTTGCTTATCTCATTTTATTTCTTTGTTACTGTAGTGCTAACAATTTTTGAGGACAGGTTAACAAATTAGCAAAGTAGATTAATGATCCTTAGGCATCAAGTAATCTTAAAACAGAACACATCTTTAGGTGTCTTGTCTCCTCCTCCCTTTGCATTATATTTCTATAATCCTTGACTTGTTTTTCCCACTGTTTATTCCTATCAATCTCTAATGGTATTTTTTTTGAATAAATGTCACTCATTTTGTTTTCTTCTACTTAATATTTCAAATAAAGAACTTCCTTCCAGGTATGTTCTGCAATGTAAGTAACATAATAAGCTTCCACAACCCAAACAGTTTTAAGTGCATTCTGCAGACTTTTAAGTCCCACAGTAGAACAGGGGTTACTCAGTTTATTGCAGACAACATATATGTGTACAACATGGGCAGCAAGCTTATGCGTGCCAAAGGTGCACGGAGCTTCTGACAGAGAAGAGTTGTTTTCTTGAGCAGTTAAAGCAAAGGTAGGCAATTAAAGAAAAGGAAATGTTCACAGTAGAGGCCTAAAGGGACGCTCAGCAGTCCCGCCTCTGCACTGCTGAGAAGGCAGGGAAGCAGCATCTTGCTGGCAAGGAGAAATTCAATCTCTTGCATAAAACCCCCACGGCAGCTGATTTCACACTGTCTGGCTGTGCCAAGGACGCTCCCCAGAGGATCTTTAAGGGAGGCATAGATGGTGACAGTGGTCAATTCAATTATTAGGCATAGGGACAACTGGGTCTGTGACATGCAAAAGGACCAAAGAGTAAGTTGCTTAACTGGGTACAAAGGTAGTGGACACCTCAGGAGATGTTTATATAAATTACCTAAGGGAGAACAGAGGAGGATCAGCACTCATGGTCTACATTAGTACCAGCGACACAGAGAAGTATAGGAGGAATACTCCGGAGATTTAAGTCACACAGCCAGGCAACAGGTTAAGTCCAAAAATCCCTCTGTGACTCCATGAGAAAGGCAAAGAGGTTATTGTAGAGAACGTGGCATTTAAAAAATGTAAAACCTAACTGAACAAGGAGGACATGGAAGTCTCAAAAATATCCTAGGGCACACAACAACAGCACAGATGCTCAAACCGGCAGTAGGAAGAACAGTGGTAGCAGGAAGCCAGCTTGGGAGAGGGTGGGACAGCCTGGTGAACGGAACAAAGGGCACTCCAGGCCAAAGCAGAGAAACTCAGTGCATGCTTTGCATCAGTCTTTACTGCTGAATGTATTTTTAAAAAAATATTCAGCATTCCAGAGTTATCACAACCATTCTGATGAACTGAAATATGGAGGGTTTTTTAATACCATGTTTTCTTAAGAAAACAATCTCACAGCCAAGGTTATTTGATGTTAATTAATTAATTAATGGTGAACTTTTAAAATTACTTAATCTAGGTTTTCTTTAAAAGTCTAATGTCCATTCTTTATCAGGATATATTGTGACTCTGTATGCTTTATAAATTCCAATTCCAGTGCACTATTGATTCTTTCTTCTACCAATATCAGGCCAGTAACCTTGTTTAATCCAGACATTCCACCTAACTTTTTTATTTCTAATGTTTGTTCGGAGAAATGTATAATAATTGCTCTTCACCTGTCAAAGCACTGTTGTCTATCCTGATTGAGTAAGATTTTAAGGAAAACCTTAGAGTCCTCCGAAGGATGGAGGCATGCATCTTTGAATTACACATTTATTGCTCTCAAGGAGGTGTTTCTAACATTGTTTGAATTCCCTCAAAACCCACCAAGACTGAAGTAGAAAGATCCTATGATCACTGATACAGCCCAAGCTCAGCAACATACATGTAGATAATAAAACATGAAGGTGTTTACCTTTATTTGTTACAACGCAAATAATTATTTTGACATTATTATACATTTTGTAATTATTCTCATGTACATGAAAGCCTGACGGTGAAGAGAATTATTCCAAAAATCCCTAGCCTCTTGTTCCCCCATCTCCCTGCTCTTTCTGTACATATTCAGAAGGCTTCAGCTGCCTCAATATTTTTTGGGCCACAACTATGCTCACTGACCTCACCATTATGTATGAGTAAAAGTATTTATACTCATTGGAAATTACAGCGATTGTGTTTCTACCATAAACCCATCAGAATATGACCATTAAGCAATCACAGGCCAGAGATCGTCTTCTCGTTCCAATACTCCTTCATTTTTTTTTTTTTTTAGTGAGCATGTGAAGGATGTCACAGAAACAAGTTTTCCTTCCCCCGGCAGATGAAGTTCTTTGTCAGTACTCTTCCTCCTGCCTTTCCAAGACCTGGGCAGGTAGCACTCCACCCCATGCTGCTCTGTATTGCTATTTAAGCTCTGTATTGCAAGAGCTGCTCTGTACAGCAAGAGCTATTTAATCCTATGGAAGACGGGAAACAGGAAATGTGTCAGGGAGGAATCTTCCAAGGAAATAAAGGAAGGGAGCACCACTTTTTCTCTGAAGGAATACTCTCCAAAGAGAATCCTAGCTCTCTGTAGTTAAATAGAGATGAAGTCCCAAGAAAGACTATGTCCTTTATGCTCAAAAAATCCCCAGCAACCTAGTTATCAACATGACGGATACCAACGAATTCCAGACACTTACCTCAACAAACCAGAGGGGCATCCAACAAACTTATACCCAACCTTGCCAAACAAAAGCAAGCTGTTTCAACACAGCACTATTTAAACTATGGAACTGGTTGTCATAAGGTGTTACAGAGACAAAAAACCCCATTATATAAATACATTATAAAAAAGGATTAGATGGACACAATAATGACAGATAGGTTGGCTTAGTGTGATAAACTAACAGATTTGGTGCTCTACATGCCATTTTTATGCTAAGCTTCATAAACCATTGATTGCTAGAAAGTCAAAGGAAATATCACCCCAAGTCTGCTCCGTTTCTGGTATTCCTTCCCTAAGTATCTTCCACTGGTGCTGACAGTCCTTACATGAGACAAAGTCTTTATTGAGGACGATGGACCTTAGCTGATTTAGGAAAGGTAGCATATCATGAAACCAAGAAAATGACATTATACATCTAGAAAAATTTAGCTGCCATTTATCAAATATGTTCTCTACTCATATGATTTTTCTGATCAGTACTAATCCAGAAATTGCTATGGCTTGGTCATTTTCATTCCAATGATTTTCTTAGAGTTATAGAAAACTTAAAGTTTAAAAAGTATCAACAAAAATCAGGCCTATATTCTTGAACAATCTTTTCGACTATAAAAAAATACAACTCACATGATACACAAATTTTAAGTGCAATCGTCTAAATAAATTATTCCATATTTAATCTATTCAAAAATTATTGGCAAGTAGACTCTTTTATTTTCATTCCACTTAATCAACACCGTGAGAAAATTATTCCAGAAAAAAACCCTTAGTATTCATTGAATAAATTATATGCTCACCTGAAATGGCTTATTTGGTTTTCTAACAGGGAGGAAAGTCTGTCCTTAATTTCCTCAAACCTCTCTTTCTCTTCAACAGACACTGTTCCAATTCCATCTGGCCTGTAATATTAAATGCTTAATTATTGTTAATATCTCTTTACACTGATTCCTGTTCAAACAATTATCTTTATTTTTAAAGCTTTCAGTTAACATACATGCTAACTCTCCTTTCCCACTGCATTGAAGGATAAACAGTAACTTGTGAATAAAATTAAAGAACGGACTGCCACTACACCAACAATTTAACTTCTGAGCTGAATTTTCAATTCAAGTCCTAAATTTCTACCTGATCTCAATACGAACATAGGGTAGCATACATTTCTCCCAAATAATTCCCAAAGGTATATCCTTTCTCAAGAAAATCAGTACTAGTGTCACAATAGAGGGTCAACAAAAAATAGTCTTTAAATGGCATTTTACTAAACATCAAATTTAAGTCCCAGTAATTAATAATAAGCTTTGTGTTAAGTATATTGAGCACACACTGAGTCTGAAGTCTTAGCTTAAATTTGTTATTTATATTAAAATAATAACAAAATTAAATAGATTTAAATACACATTTCCCAAATGGTATATTTGCCACACAGTCACAAATTCCCCACATACAGCATACTTTAAAAAGAAGTATCTGAAAACTTCCAGTTACTCTCTTAACTTTCAGCTTCGGGGCAAAACCAGCTACTGCTTCCCACGTGAGTTTATCCTCTGCCACTAAGTGCCCATCTGCCCTGTACCACCAAAACTGTATCTCAATATTTCTAGAATTGAGAAAATTGTAGTAAATTGACATGAAGAAAGACATATTCTGTGAATCTTCTGGGATCATTCTGAGATTCTAGGAATATCTTTTTGCTAAATTGTTACTTCAACTTTCTGTACAATACTTAAACCTAGAAGGGATAAGTTGCTACCTGGTCATGACATAAACAATTCTCTCACCCTTTAAATCACTTACATTTGTGATCTGTCAAGTCAAGGTGGAAAAAATGCCTGAACTCCTTAAATTATTGTGAAGACAACAATAAAAATCAGATATGGTGGACATATGAGTAACCAGGCACATCAATATACTATCGTATAAATTTGATGTGAAAGAGCAAATAACTTTATCTTCTCTCTTTTGATGGATGCCAGGATACTTTACCTCAGCCTTCTGACAGATGGAACAGGTTCAAATTTAAGTAAATTGCACTGTCTGATTTCATTGTCAGGAGAGAGTGTGCTCTGGAGTGATAAAGTAAATAGTTCTGTCATATTAAACCTTGCTGAGGCATGTCATATATATGACAGAAAAGACCTAGGGGTCCAGATAACAGTAAGTGAAAAAGGTGAGCCAGTAGGATGTCATATCTGTCACCCTGCACTAAGGCTAAGATCACTACGTACTGGGGACCTGTCACTTCACTGTGTTTGTTGTCATAAAGAACCTCACTGGCCACACCTACAATTTTCACAACTGTTAAACATATTTTCAGTGGATGTTTGCATAGAAGCCAATGTCCCAGAAGAAAAAGAAGAGTACACAAAAGGGTAGTATCTATAAAATGTAGTATCTATAGCATGGAAAAACTTGTTTCTTGAAAACATGCTTTTAGAAAACAGCACAAACACTGAATTGTTATTTTAGTTCTTCCTGTTAGCCTTAATTCAACAAGCAGAGTATAAAAATGCATTTTCATAACATACTTCAGAGACACATATTTTGCTGGTGATCATTTTTTGCTGCTCTTGGGAATGTCTATCTACTACCAAGAAGAAAGAATCCACAGAGAAAGGAATACGACTCTCAGATGAGCCGAAATAGAAAAAATAAATAGTTTCAAAATTCCCACTCATGTTGTCTTCTAGATCTTTTTCTTTAATTGCTTTAAAGACAGAATCAAATAAAATAGCACTGTTTTGAGCTGGTTATTTTTATGTACAATTTATTACACCTGCCAAGAACATCAGACTCAAGCAGTCACTTGGTTTTCAAAGGTTTAGGTCATCCATAAACTAGGCAAGGACTATTTTGCAACCAAAACCAACAAATGTGCCTTTCCTCCTATCCAAAATGTTATGGATAGTGGTTTGAACTTGATTCTTTCAATTCACACCCAGTATTCATCTTTCCTATTGCAGCCTGGGACCTCTCTTTCAAGAACTCAATCAAGAGAAGTGATAGAATGTCTTAAGAAGAGTTTTCATTTTAACATTATCTTCTCAAGAAGGTAAAGGGAGAGTGATTTTTCCTTTCCTCCACATCTTTTCCTCCTTACTCTTCACAACTGGTTTTGGGATTAGAGAACTAGCTGAAACAGTGAGCATGCAAAACCCGAGCAGCCTTCTCTCTCACTTAGATGAGTTTTCCACCTTTTTGAGAACTCTATCAATTGGATTTGGATTGTCTTGTCTTGTCTGCATAGGTCAGTCTAAGTGGCACAGATGTAATGTTATCTCTGGTCACATCTCAAGTTATTTAATTCACTCAGACTTAAATATTTGAAAAAAAATACCTCATGAACTAGAGCTAGTAAATTCAAGTGGGAAGTAGCTGTTTGAACATAAGACACTTAAATAATGACATCAAAAGTAGAGGTTGACCAGAATTTTAAAAGAAATTTTTACTGTGACAATCTTGCAAGATTGCTGTCCTGATGGCAGTTACTCTAGGGAAGCAGATTGATTAGGTGGTGGATTTAGGTTTTCCCCTGGGAACTGACTGTTTTGCCACACTTGATATTATCCCTTAAGGCTTGGAGTACCCTTTAGAAATATTTTGATACCTAGAGGTCTTAAAATCTATAATGATTTGCAGAGCTCACTTGATGCATTGTAGGATTAAGATTCTTGTGAACAGCTATGGCACATGAGATAAAAATGGTATTCCAGTTCCAACAGGAATTAGATGTGATGGACACTGGGTTGACTCTAGATTGTTTCCAGCCCTCAACTTTGGAAACAGCTTCTCCTAGTGGCCTCTCAGAGAGTGAATTGTTACCTTAAGTAAGATTGCCTTGTTGAGAGAGCCTTGCAAAATACTATCCGAACATGAATGACTTCTTCTTCCTCTGGAACACCACTGATAACCGTGCCTTTTGCATGTTTGCATATTTAAAAAATGTTGAAAGTCAATAAGCTTTCAATAAGCTTTCCTCATTAAAAACATAGACCATCACTTTGGTCTGTCATGGGGAAAAAAAAAAAAAAAGAGTATGAAGACAGAAATGCACAGATTGACATTTCAACATGTACACACACAGAGATAGATGAGAACAGTAGCTGACCAAAAGAATCTGCCAGAGAAAGATGAGAAACTATGATTTCTCAAGAAACAAAATGCAAGAAAAATACTTCAACTAAAGTCTTACTTCAAGACATTTATATAATAAACTACATTTCAAGGGTGTAGGAAAACAAAATTTAAATGTCATATTGGCTCCTAGAAACAAATTTTTTTAGAAGACTTCAGTGCTTTCTAAGACCACTTGTTTTTAAATTCAGTAGGCTGCTCAATAAAATGAAAGAACAGTGACAATTTTCAAACTAGCAAGATAAAAATTTGACTTCTTGTTTCACAGTAAACTGGAGATTAAATTGATTAGATCTGTAATGTATATATGTTATTATTTATATATATAACTTTAATATCCAAGGACTTTAATACACTACTTTTCCTTTAAAGAACAATTGTACTAATTAAGGCTTTTGCAGAGTCCATGGTTTATGTTAGAAAAAAATCTAAGAAAAATTATAATATACATTATCAGCTTAGAAGCAGACATCTTTTTACTAACAGACAATGAAGACATATCACGTGGCATTTAAACATAGCTCGAACAAGCAGGAACTTGAAGACCAAACATTTTGCTGTTTATATTAACTATTCTTTAAACGTTGTAGGAAAAAAAAAAAGGCACAATAGAGCTTTCTGCTGTATGTGTTTCTCAGGCTGATCCTACATTTGCTTACAGGTCATATCCGCTTTTTCACAAGTGAATGAAAAAGACTAATTCTGAAAGCCACTAAAACAGATTAAGAAGATAAATCATGTTAATTTTAATGGTCCTATATGCAGTTATATTTTAGGTGGAATTAATTAATGTCCTTCTACTGAAAAGCTAAGCATACACTAATATAATATTTTACCTAAAGTATAAGGGTATGTATAGGCATTAATCAGTTGAAATTAATGACAAAACCCGTATAATGTTTAGGGAAGGTGAGAGTACGTAAAAGCATTAGCTGTTCCTTCATTGCCTAATGTGTTGGGTTTCTGTGGTGGTGAGTTTTGGTAGCAGGGGAGGAGCCACAGAGATGGCTACTGTGAGAAGCTGCTAGAAGCTCCACTGGCTCCCAGTCAGACCCACCTCTGGCCATGGCTGAGCCAGTCAGCACGTCTGTGAATCAACACATTTAAGAGGGGGAAAACAAAAAGAAAACTAGCAGCGGAAGCAGAAAGATTGTGGAGAGAGAAGTGGGATGTGAGAGAGAGAACAAGGCAGACCCTCAGGTCAGTGCAGAAAGACAGGGAGGAGGTGGCTGGAGCAGAAGTTCCCCTCAGCCCGTGGTGAGAGGGCAGGCTGTGCCCCTGCAGCCATGGAGGGTCATGGGGAAGCAGAGACACACTGCAGCCTGGGGAGGGCCCCATGCCGGAGCAAGCAGCTGTGACTCTGTGGGAAGCCTGCGCTGGAACAGGCTGCTCCTGAAGTACTTCACCCTGTGGAAGGGATCCATGCCAGAGCAGTTCATGAAGAGCTACAGCCTGTGGGAAGGACTCACATTGGAGAAATAGATGGAGGACTGTCTCCCATGGGAGGGACCCCAAGCTGGAGCACGGGCAGAGTGTGAGGAGTCATCCCCCTGAGGAGGAAGGAGCAGCAGAGGCAGAGAACTGACCAAAACCCCATTCCCTGTTCCCCTGGGCCGCTGGGGGTGGGATGTAGAGAAACTGGGAGCAAAGCTGAGACGGGGAAGGGGGGAGGTAGAAGCTGTTTTTAAGGTCTTTCTTTGTTTTATGTTTCATTATACTACTCTGATTTGCTTGGTAACAAATCGATATTTTTCCCTGAGTCAAGTCT